CAAGGCATAAATAAAAGTGTACATTCTGAGCAGATGGAACAGTGAATGCAAAGGCCCTGAGGTAGGTCAAAGGCCCTGAGGAGCAGCGTGCTTGTAGCATACTGAGGAAGAGGAGAACTTGGTGGTAAGCTGAGCTTTTGCTCTTAAAATAAAGCAATGTGATCTACCTGTTAGCAAGATTCTTCTAGAATGAACTATGGAGACTCAGAGGAGGGCAAGGAGGCCAGTCAGGAGAATGTCACAATAATCCAAGCAAGAAATACTGGTGCTTGAATTGGAGCAGACCAATGGGCAAAGATTGGTTCCTCAAGCCGGGTGCTGGTGGCTCATGCCTATAATCCTAGCTACTCAGGAGGCTGAGATCTGAGGATCGCGGTTCAAAGCCAGCCCGGGCAGGAGAGACCTTGAGACTCCTATCTCCAATAAACCACCAGAAAACCAGAAGTGGCGCTGTAGCTCAAGTGGTAGAGTGCTCGCCTTGAACTGAAGAGCTGAGGGACAGCGCCCAGGCCCAGAGTTCAGGCCCCATGACCGACAAAAAAAAAAAAAAAAAAAAAAGATTGGTTCCTCAGTGAAAAGCAAATAATGACATTGGTTGCATTGCTTAATAAACTCTCTTAAGCACACACATGTCCAGAAGTATAAAGACGTTTCCTCTAATCCTCCTCTCTTAGAGAAGAGGGCTAACGAGGAGCATTTTGTACCTTTCTGTTTGTTGTGCTTTTCTATCACCAGCATAAGTATTCCTTTCATTTAAATACTAAGCGACTTAACAATGAAAATTTAGGACAAACAGGAATTGGAACAGCAATGGGCTGTCAACGTCAGAAGTGGCAGCCACCTTTGACCTCTGCTGAGCTGTGCCCTCCCTAAAGCTTCTGGCCTGCAGGGCCCCACAAGCTGGACTGAGCTCATAGTTATGAGTGACAGCAGAACAAGCCCCGCCTCCCTGCCAAGCCGCACTGGCCCAAGTTTCCATCCTGCAGCTCTCTTTGGGCAGCAAATGCAATTTCCGGCCAGTGTCTGCCTTACTTCCCAGTCCTCTTGGCAGCTGGTTCCCCAGGAGGCCAGGAGCCTCAGTGAGCTGCCTGATTAGGCATAAACAGAAGGAAATGCTTGGCTGGGGCAGACAGGGGCCGCAGATTTTGTTTCTCCTGTCAGCTGATTAGGGTTTGTGATGCCTGAACGAGGTCAAATGTGATTAAGGAGAAGACTCAGTGTGCCTGCTGTGTGGTTCTCAGAACAGCATCATTTCTGTAAACAGGATGAATGAGGTGGAGGTTTTAAAGCTAATGTTGAATATCACAAGATTCAAGGTCAAGATGCTGGGGCTTCTGTTATTTACACATTGCTTCTTTCGTGTTAAAAAGTGAGATTTTTGTCACACACATGCCTGTAATCCTACTCAGGAGGTTGAAGTCTAAGGATTATGGTTAAAAGCCAGCGCAGACAAACAAATCTAAGACACCTTTATCTTCAACTGACCAGCAAAAAGCCAAAAGTGGAGGTGTGGTTCAAGTGGTAGAAAAGCAGCCTTAAGTTCAAGCCTTAGTACTAGCACTTGCGCACACACACACACACACACACACACAGAGTGAGAGTTCTGTGTGTGGTTTTTGGAGGCCTTGAGGGCAGAGTTTTAAAACCACAGAAATTATGCCATCTGCTATGTCACCTTCTAGAACTTTCTTAAGACATTTGTGCCTACCTTCTGGCACAGCCACTGCCTACATACCCTGCATGGAGTCTGTCTTTCAGGATGGGGAAGGAAAATGTCACCTCCAGCAGCAACCCCAGCATCCTGAGGGGGGGGGTGTTGTGGGGAGGGGCTCTGGGTGAGCCTCTGTGATATACACACCTACTAGAATTTTTCTTGGCCCTCAAAATCCATCATTTCCTTCCTTCTCAGATGTCCTATGCACCATGGTGGTACAGCTGTCAGAAGGCAGGAAGGAATTTAAAGTGGTCTCAACATGGCAGGAAGAAAGGATTTCTGTGGCATTAGCTGAATGGTTCCTCTTACAGTGTGGGGGCTTCATGAGGGGCTTGGCTAGCTCTTTCTCTTTCCCAGAGACTCCTTCTGTGCACAGAGCTGGAGCAGGTGACTTCCCAGCAGTGATCTGAGTCCCTTCTCTAAACAACGGTACCGCCATCAGACAGCCATGTTAATTACCATGCTGTAGTACTTAGGAAACTCAATGTGTATTATTTGAAAGATGAATCTAGATATTTGGCACAGAAGTTGGAATGCAGAATTTAAGGGATGTTAAAGTAAAATAGCAAAAGAAAAAGAAAGAATCTTGACATGAAGGGGAGTTAAATTTGGGGTGTGCACACCAATACTGGGACTTAATGCCAAGGACTGGTACACTCACTTGTTTTTTGTTGTTATTTGTTGGGGTTCTGGGGCTAAACTCAAGGCCTGGGTACTATCTCTAAGCTCTTTTGCTCAAGTCTAACACTCTACCACTTCAAGCTACAGCTCTACTTCTGTCTTTTTGGTACTTAATTGGGGTAAGAGCCTCACAGACTTTCCTGCCTTGGTTGGCTTTGAATTGTGATTCTCAGATACCAGCCTCTGATAGCTAGAATTACAAGTGTGAGCCACAAGAACCTGTCCTCTCACTTGGCTTTTATACTCAAGGCTGGTGCTTCACCGCTTGAGCCACATTTATACTTCTGGCTTTTTGCTAGTTAACTTAAGAGTCTAGAGCTGGCTTTGAGCTACAATCCCCAGATCCTGAGCTACCAGCACCTGGATGTATTACAATAACTATCTTAATTAAAGAACTGGAATATTCCTTATTTTCCAATACTTGGACAATAACATTGCCAAACACTCAATATGCAGTAGTGTATTACATGATTATTATATCACAATTAGTATATGCCAGTAGCTAGGATTATATTTGCTTAAAAGCCAAGTGTGTGTCTGTCTATGTTCACAGCTGGGAATAAAGCAGAAATGGAGTGCAATAGTAATATGCCCTTGGATTCCTGGTGCTCAGGTGCTGGTACACATGGGGACACATACGGTTGTCATGGTTCTGTGAGGATGCAGGGATATTGGGAGTTGGAGAGCCTGATTCCAGAGGAGCCCAGATCTACACTGTCAGGAATGGCTATGTTATGGTGTGGTCTGGGCAGATTAGAGAGCATCAATCTGAATAGAGAAAACCTGTTTTTAGTCACCTGGGTCTTTTGCTAGTAGTGCAGACTTGGGTGAACCTGGGCTTGCTTCTTTTGTTCAACAGGTCTTTTAACATCCTCGAAATGTCACAAACCAGCCTTATAATAAGAGAGCATCTTGTTTCCAAAGCTGGATAACTTTCAGGTCTTATCTATCCATTGGCCAGCTGCACTATCTCTTTGTCAGGGACAAGGATGCCTCCCATACATCTTCTGATGGCCTTCATTTGAACTGCTGTGGCTTACTGAATCAAAGCAGCCAAATTCGGATCGAGTTCATTGTTGTTTCCTTGATGCATTAACTTTCTGAACTTAACATACCAAACAAACAGCTCCTGGCTTTATCTCATAAATGCCCATACATTTTCCACCCAAGAAATTCTATATTTCAACAAGAGATCCTTCCGCCCAACTAATGACATTGTAGTAGCCAAAGGGGCAGGTCCTGCACAGGACTGCAGGCAGTGCTAGCAAATCCGGTTCTTTCTACCCTCTCCTCCCTGTCAGCCTGAGCCTCTTCTTTTCTTTCAACAGAGGAGGGTTGTTGTGTCTTCTAACTTTCAAAACTGCCCTTCCATGTTGTTATAAAGAGTTTATCTGTCCTACATAAGGCATAATAATTCTTCCAGTGCATAGAAGACACCTATGCAACATGTTTTTACCTTTCAGTGATTCAAGAGGCCCTATAGAATCCTGCACACACAGGACTGTTGTTATGTTTTAAAGCAAAAGGATCAATCTCTTGAATATGTGGAAGGGCAGGCAGTTCATAAGGTTCCAGATGACAGATTTGGGGAAGTCAGCTTTCTCTGTACCTATGTCCCTTCTGAGAGGTGCATGGTCAGAGTCAGGAGATGGCTCCGCCCTTCTAAAAACCGCAAGAGTGCCCCCTGGGGGCTCTATCAGGAAATGATCAACCCTACCCTTCCTGTGCCAACAACTTCCGGCTGGGAGAGATAGGAGCTTATTTCTTCCTTGGACGGGTCAGCATCCAGCCCTCTATCTGAATCATCAGGGCAGCAGGCTGGTGACCACGTACATTCACAACCCATTTGTGCTTTCCAGGCTCAAGCTGCTGGGTAAGGAGGAACTCCACCAATGATAGGAAATTATTCATCATATTTCCATTATTCTCTTCAAAGACACCCCATCCTCACCCCACCTTCATTCTCCACCTTATAGCCAGAGGTATCTGTAAAGATAGCCTCCTTTCTTCCTGCTTCCATCCTGGCTAAGGTATGAAAACGACACCCAGGGCTCCCTGAAGAAATCCCCAGCCTTGATGCTGGCCCCAGCTGAGGACTCACCTGGTCCAGCAGAGACAGGCTCAAACAGTGAGTGGAATGTCAGGAATATTCTCCAGCATGCCCCTCCCCTGGCCTGGCAGCTACTGCCCTGACTGGCTTTGAAAAATGCCCTTTGAAGGGATGGGTTCTGGGAATGGCACAGACAGACAGACACCCTACCCCATTCATGCAGACACCTACATCCTTATGGGAATGCCAGATGACAGCACAGAAAAGGGCCCCTTTTTTCCCTTGGAGCTTCTAAAGTCCACAGGAGCCACAACCTGCTGTTTCCCTGGCAACAAAGGCCTCAAAATAAACAGGATCCTGCTCAGACTGGCCAATAGTCCACCGGGCACAGGCATGTGCCCCTAGACAAACCACGTTAGAATAACACCAGGGGAGTTACTACCACAGTCTTCTGTCTCTGCCTCACTCTCTGCTGGCCCAAGGCTCTGCCTTTCTGTATTGTACAGTTAGGAGCATGGACAGCCCTGGGGGCAGGGCTGTGGTGGGGGAGGCATGGCACTGTGTCTAGGCAGGTCCCCTAGGCTGCTAAACAAGGCCAGAATCAGACCTAGAGCCCCGACGCTCAGCTCCCTCTGACCTCCCCCAGGGACTGCCAGCGGATCTGTGGCATGGCGCTTGGCGTCTGGCCAGCAACCTGATGTGCATGCCACGGCCCGTCCCTCTCCCCACACAGCGCTGCTGAAACGCAGAGCTTCAGAGAGCCGGCTTGGGGCTGCTGGAGAGGCAGCCTCCTCAGGGTGACAAGGATCCACACAGCGAAGGACAGCAGCTGGGTTCAGTTTCAGCCCAGAGCGAATGAGAAGAGAGGACGGCCCTGGCCTGCAAGCGCTTCAGGTGACAACCATGGGGTCTATGCTGGGGAGAAGTGCTACAGCTAGAATGGAGGCCCTCTGTGCATGTGGGCACACATATGAAGCTAGTTGACCAGGAAAGGGAAAAGGGACATGGGCACAACAGGGTGTTTGAAGTAGTAGATATGGAACAGCTCCCCCGTGGCTGGATTGAGCCTGGTGTGGCTGGCGCTGGGGGCAGGGCTTGCTGATGGTGCAGACGTGTAAAAATAGCACTTACACAGAGAGGCTGCAGAAACAATCATGGGCCATACCACCCCGGTATCTTAACCACCGCCGGCCCCCTGGGATGGGAGGGACAGAAGTGCTCTGGATTACTGAAGTGCTGGATGCTACCCTGGTGTTCGGTGGAAGCTGGAAGCTGTGGTTACGGAGGGTCAGGCTGGCATCATCTTGCTGTGTCACTCAGCCACCCTGGCTGCTTGGAAACGCAGCTGCACTGGAAAACCTGTCCACATAGTGGGAAGCTGAAATTTGGTCACCTCTTTGATATACAAGTCAGGCTGGAATACCATGAGCCGGGTGTGTGCGCTCCAGGTTTCCATCGGGTTGTATTCTGATGTGCCTTGCATTTCCCTGCCCATTTGTTTATTTGTTTGTTTGTCACAGTACTGAGGTTTGAACTTAGGGCCTTGCGCTTGCTAACAAGTGCTCTATCCCTTGAGCCATGCTTCTAATCCTCTTTGCTTTCATTACTCTTCTGAATGAGATCTTACTTTCTGCCTGGGCTAACCTGTACCAAAACCCTGTTTATGCTTTCCACATAGCTAGCATGACAGGTGCATACCACTTTCCAGGAGGCTGGGATGACAGGTGTGAACCACCCCATACCTTCTGATTCTCTTTGATAATCACATCTCACCTCAGAACCCCTCCCACAGGCACCCGAGTGGCCAACCACTGAGCTCTCCACACCCACGTCACAGTACATACCAAGGGTAGGCCCAGTGCCCACACAGTAGCCTTGGAGAATTTCAGGCCTCTAGAAGCTAAGACAGGAATTTCAGGCATTTGGTCAAGTACCATTTTGTAGTGACCTCACCTCCCGCCTCTGGTTCAAGAACTTCCTGTGTCTCAGCAATCTGGGCTTTCTCCAGCTGCTTTACATCCTCTCTCCCCCATTCTCTCTCCCTGCCTTTCTGTATTGGTGATCAACGCCCTTCCTTTCCTTCTCTATAAAAAAGAATGCAGTTGGTGGTAGCATTAGCTTCCACTCAGAGGACAAGCCAGATTGTCTCCCTAATAGCTTTGAGTTTAAATGAGCCAGGCTGACTCTGACGGCTTGGGGGGCGGTGACTGGGGGGGCGGGGAGGGGGTGAGGGGATAGACTTCCTTTGGGAAGTGGTGTCCAGGAAGAGCTAGCTGCTGCTTGTCAGGGCTTTCTGTGAATAAGTGTGGATTTTGGTGGAGAATCTGATTCAAAGCCACAAACTCGCTTTGTTTTCCTTTGTGTGGGTCACTGAGAACTCCCAGGAAAGTCCCCTTTGGAGATTGTCTCCCTGAAGGCAAGAGCACCAGTTTGCTGGTGGAGGCTACAGGGGAGACTGATTTGTATTGCTCTTGCCTTTTAAAAATAAGAATGAATGGATATGCAAATGAAGTCCTGAACCAGAGTACGGTTAATATACAAAACTTCCTGTAAGAAAGCAATGAGGTTCTTGTCAACCCTCTACTCCTGGCTCCAGAAAAGGGTTTAAAAGCAGGATCTGGTTAAGTGGGTTTGGGTTACAGGCTAGTGGTACCAACCATGATGCCAAAAGTTTCAGGGGTGGACATCATAAACTTCATCCCACACTACCAAGGAGATGGTGATGCCCATCCCTGCAGGCTGATGCGCCTCCAGTGGGACTGGTTAGGCTGTTAAGGGTGATTGATGGGTGATGGAGTTACAGAAGCAGCAGTTCCTGCCACTGCTTGGTGGATACAGTATCCTCTCCCTTAGGCTGCTGGTATCATAGCCATTTGCACCACAGATGGGCCCTACTTTAGGCCAAGCTAACATCTATTCGTGGCACATAGCTTGTGAGTGAATGAATCTGTTCCTCAGGGAATGCATTCATTAATCAGCAAGTTTTCATCCAGCACCAATGACTGACTGGGTATCCTATTTCCCAGGCAACTGGATCCAATCAGCCAGAGAAGGGAGGGGACCTTCTGGGTGGGCAGGTAACATAGTGGATTGGGCTGAAAGAAGCTAAAGGTCTTCAAGGCACAGCACAAGAACAGTCATCGGGGAAGTGATCTGACAGGAGAGAAAAGAAGGGAATAGCAATTATTACCATCTCTAAATCATGCTACTAAAGAGGAAATGTAACATGGTTACCTAAGTGCATAGATTCTGCCTGACATCTGGATCTGGACTCTGCCCTTGCTGGTTCTGTCACCTTGTGCCTCAGTTTTCTTATCTGTAAAGTGGGCTCATAGAGTACTAATCTTGTGGAAATGATCCATTGACTACCCTAGTGTAGTGCCTAGCTTACTGCAAACACCAGATGAGCCTTTGCTATTATCTACAGTCAAAGGCAAGATCTAAAGAGGCTGCTCACAAGTCCATTCATTCCAAAGACCAAAGTGACACTCTAGGAATGAGCACTGGTGCCACTTTCTGGTGCTTTTGCCTTGGCATGGAGCTCTGTCTGGGTTTGTGAACATTTGGAAGCAGGGAACTTCTGGTCTGGTCACCAGTGTTGCTCTTTCTTACTGTGTCCAGACACTGGTCTGGGCTTTAACTGCACAATCCCCCTAAACACTAACGCTGTTACAGGGGTGGGGACTGAGGCTTGGTGATGAGCCCTTGCCTATAGTTTGTCAGGTGGAAGAGCAGGGTTCACATCTGTGCTGTACATAAACTCTGTGCCCCTGATTGGGAGACTATAATTCTCATAGGGGGCCTCAGACAAGATGTCCTGAGAGGCAGGTGGAATTTGGTGACAGGAATTCAGCAACTGATAGATAGATAGCTAATAACTATAGGATTTTTTAAAAATATAGTAACTGGGGTTTATTGAACTCAGGGCTTTGTGCTTGGTAGGCAGGTGCTCTACCACTTGAGCCAAGCCTCTAGTCCTTTTGGTTCTGATTAGTTTTGAGATAAGGTCTTACTTAATGCCTGCTCCAACCTAGACTGTGATCCTCCTATTAATATTTCCTGCCACAGGCATGTGTCATTGTAGCCAGCTATTGATTGAGATGGAAGGCTTGTAAACTTTCCCCCCAGGATTGGCACCCAAATCTGATCCTCCCACTCCTCCACCTCTGCAGTGGCAAGGATTACAAGAATGAGCTATTGTGTCCAGGCACAAGTGGTGATATTTGAAGACCCTAGAAAATAGGCCAGGATTTGGAAGCACTAAGGGCTAGTAAGATCCTAGCTTGTGTTATGGGCAGAATCCCAGCCTTGAAGACCTACAAGACAAAAATATGGGCAATGAAGGACAAGGTGAACCTCCAGTTTCCCTGAACCTGGCAATGGTTGGTCCCCAAGTATAGAAGAAATGAGGTATGACAGCAGAGACATATGCATGGTGAGCACACTGGTTATCAGGACTCCTGACAACCCCTCAGGTTGAAGGTTAGTGTCACCTTGAACTAAGCCTGAGGTTAGCATGGTGTGACCCAGGTGGTAGAGACAGGAGGAATGGATGATCCAAAGTGAAGTGTCTCAGCACAGTGCAATTTACTGTATCATAAGAGACCCCACCCCTCTGAAGAGCACATGTAACATGAGCTGCAGAGATGAGGTTAATGAGCAGCAGCTGGACTCCACCTATCCATGTGAAAAGGTGTGAGGGCCTGACTCAGGACGTGACTCATCTGCTCCTGCACAGACTGTGCTCTGGTCTACAGGTTCCAAGCTTTAATGTGAATAGAATCAACCATGGGAAAGCTTGTTTAAAAACCAGGCTCCAGGGCTGGGAAGGTGGCTCAGTGGTAGAGCGCTTGCCTCGCATACATGAGGCCCTGGGTTCGATTCCTCAGCACCACATAAGCAGAAAAAGCTGGAAGTGTCACTGTGGCTCAAGTGATAGAGCGCTAGCCTTGAGCTGAAGAGCTGAGGGACAGTGACCATGCCCAGAGTTCAGCCTTATGACCATCAAAAAAATAAATAAAAAACAACAAAAAAAAAAACAGGTTCCAGAGTGTTCTGTGAGGAGTGACTCCATGGTTCATGAGGACTCCAGGCTTCTGGATTTCCTGGGTGCAGCCAGGGGATCTGGATGGCTTTAGTCCAGTCTGGCTCTCACTCTGACAGAGCTGTGTGACCTGTATCAGTGGCAGGTAGCCTTTTCTTGGTCATCACCTGCTTCTGAGCTACCCACCCGTCTAGACGTTCATTTCATATAAGAGCAACAATGCCACATTCACTGCACACAGAGTTATTATATGCTAGGCACCATGATAAGCCATTGGTGCATGTTATTCTCTCATTAATCCTTCACAACATTAGATAGATCATGGTTAGAGACATTACAACCACATTTCACAAGTGAGGGAAAAGGTCACATTGCCTTGAACTGGGATTTGAACTCAGGACTAGAAGGGACTAGAAGGACTAACAGTATTTTCCTTCAGCCTCTTAAGCTTCATTCTTGTCTGTCTCATTCTCAGACTCCTATTAAAGCCGTTCAGAAGATGGTATCTCCTGCACTTCCCTACTTTATCTTAGGCAGTGAATTAAAGGTTGGAGAGGTGAGGGTTGAAAACAGGGTGTCACAGGTTAAATTCATAGCCCCCAGAACCTAAGAATGTGACCTTATTTGGAGAGAGGGTCTTTTCAGAGATAAACAAATTAAAATGAGATCATCAAGGAGGTCTTAACTATTCACAGTGACAGGTGCCCTAACATAAAGGGAGTTATTTATTATTATTATTACCATTATTATTCAGTCAGTGCACATTTGTAATGTGAGAGTGTTTCACATGCACGGAGCATACTTTGAACAAATTCACCTCCTCCACCATTTTCCCACCCCTCCTTTTCCT